ACGTATATCTTGTCAATGACATTATATGAAACACCACAGCAACTAACGTCGGGTTCTATTTCTTTGATGTTTATATCGTCTGCCTCTGTCAAAAGTTTCAATAGTTCTTTCAAAACTTCATGAGGTGCAATGACATATGAGTTCACTTTTACAGGGTTGTGTTCGACCAAGTTTAACATTATACCTAAAGCTTGACAAATCTTCTCCTGAGTTTGAAGTTTGTCTTTCAGTTGTTGGTAGTCGTTTCGAATATCTGCAACAGAACTTAAGTCTCTGCTAACTTCAGGGTATGTTGGTTGTTCTTTTACAGGAACAATTGTTATACCATCTTCGTCCTCGTATGGTTTCCCCACTTCAACATCTCTGTCTTTGACATTGACAACAACACTTTGACTGTTTGTTTGAGTTGGTGAATTTAACTTCACATCTGCCACCGCCATTAAACCTTTTGAAACACTTACGCTTCTATTTTTCGGAAATGACATTTTACTTAGAATAAAAAGATGGACGTATTTGAGTATCTCTTCGAATTGAAGCAAAACAAAGTTTACACACACAAACAATACAAATACATTGACAGAATAGTTCTTTATACAAACAATGGTAAATGTTATAGAATAGCAGTCTTTGCTGAACCAAAATATTTTCATAAAGCAAAGAAAGTTGGTATAACCGAAATGGTGAAAGTTCTTGAAGCAGACAAAAATATAACAACAAAACTGACCGATATTTCTAAAGGAAAGTTTATAATACAATATTATGTCAAAACTGGCGTACTGTCAATATTTGACGGAGAGAAGTCAGTTCAAGAACAACTTACTGACCTGCTGCCAAAATCTGCTCGATGGAAGCTGTCGTTATGCCAATCTGAGGAGCCCCAGCAGGTTTCATCGAACGAATCTTCAAAAGAGCATCTTCCGTGAAAAGTGCTATTGGTTTTGTAAACTTCTTTGCTTTCAATTCATCTGGACCGTCTCTGTCACCAGTATATTGTATTTGTACAGTACCAACAGTTGAAATACCACCCATAAAGTCTTCTGAGTCAGCAAATGGAATGCCAAGCCAAAAGTTTGAACGGTCTCCATTTGTATATTGAGTTTTTTGACCTCCTGTATGAGTCCATACTTTCACATATGGCATAATAGAACTTTGCATTTCAGGGTTAATGGTTGTTGTGAAGTTGTTGTTAAAGTTCATAGCATCTAATGTCAAGTTGTATGACCTCATATCTTCAACTGTAGAATATTCTTCTCTTGGATAATATTTGCCATCTATGTTATATGATATTTAATACCAGGGTTGTAGAAACAAGAATAGTCATTTATAGTTCGTCTGAACAGTACAAACATAGTATCTGCATGTTTCATTGCAGTTGTTAAAGCAATATCTGTTCTTGCACCTGGGTCAGCACTTTGGTTTCCAACTTCACCTGCAAAGTCTTTGACAGATATTTGGTGATAGGGAACATAAGTGGAACTGCAATATATTTGGCAGCTAAAGCATTTGAAATATCTGGGTCCAACATATAGACTGCAAGTCTGCTTTCTATTCTCTTGCATTCAAACTGTTCGCATGTGAACTTAACTGGTCCCAAGCATCTCCAGCAGCATTGAAATAATAGTTTACTTCAGTGTTGAGGTTTGAGAACCAAAGTCTAAGTCAACTTTGTCTTTGCAAAATTCGGCGAATGACGTTTTATTTGTTCCCTTTACGTCTGTAATAGTGAATGGGTCTTGTGTTGGTGCAATGACTAAGTTATTTTTGCTTGGAGTAAGTTCAATAGAAATTTTTCCTGCCCAGTTTGGCAAGTATCTTAAAAACCTGAAGATGAGGAAAGATGACAAAGGAACTCTAAGTTTCAGTTTTACTTTAGTGGCAGCAGTTCCATCTGAACCAGAAAGGTTAACATAAACTCCTGGAACGTTAGGGTCAAGTCTTCTTATTTTCTCAATAGTTGCATACTGGTCTGTTTGTTCTCTAGCTTGTGGTTGTACTGAGTTTCTCAAAGCGAACCATTCATAGTTTGCCCATGTTACTGTTTGAACTAAGTCAGAGTTAGAATATATCTTATATCCCATGAAAACTTCTGGAGCATATTGGTATCCGACATAGAAAATTCCATTGCAACCTTTCTTGTCAGACAACTTGGCAGAAGGTTTTATTTCAATGTCTTGTTCCACGTATAAGAATGAGTTGTCAATAGAAATAATATGAAACCTGTCGCAAGCAATATCTACTGTTGTTGAAGAACCTTCTCCAAACTCACCTACATTTCCATAAGAAACAGCAGTTGTATATTCGTAAGTTCCAGGAACTATTTCTGACCTTCTAATGGCATTGTCGCATTCGTTATACCATTCGGAAACATTTCCATTCATGGCATCCAAAACTGTTGGCGTTATATTCTGAGCGGCGTACATTTCATATGGGTAAAATATAGAATAGTTGGATTTATATGTCATAATAGAACCCACTCGTACCAAGCTTTACTTTCTTCCTGACTGAGTTTTTAACTCTTCTTTTTCCTTCATTGCCACTACTTTCACTAGATGAAGTTACTTCTTCACTACTTTCACTTTGTTCTACTCTTCTCTTCTTCTGGTGTCGCTTTTGGTAACTTGCCCTCTGCTTCAAGTTGTTGCATCTTTGCCTCATGTTCACCTAGTATGTTGTAAATTTCCCATGTCCTTTTTGCCTTTGGGCTCTGGTCGCCCATCTCAGGTAACCTATATCCTAGAAAGATTTTGTCATAGTTTGTATTTGAGTCTTCGCGTATTGTTTGCATGACTCTTTCCTGAGTTTCCGGTTCAAGCTCTTCAAATAGAGCTTGTCCATATGGAATAAGCTCGTTTCCAAATATATGTTTTTGTAGCCATTCTGGTTTTCTTTCCATGTAACCAATAATATCTTTTGTGAATGGGAAAGCTTTTACCCAACGTTTCAGTCTTGCGTCATTTATTTCTGTAGTTGGTTTTATTTTGTCAAGGAACATGTTTTTCAATACTAACATTTCATTTGTACTGTCCATTTGAGTTTTCTTAAATATTCATCCCTTCTCGGTTCATTGTCTGCAAAGTAAGTTTTTATGACATTTTGTAAACTTTCGTTTGCAAGGTCATGTACAATAGGTTCTCTTCCTTCTGTCTCCCTAACTTTCTTTCTAAACTCTTCACCAAATATACCATCTTTATGGTTCTGTGTAGTTCTTTGAGATAAATGTTCTAGAACGTCAGGTGTTATATTTCCATCAGCCATGTTCATTTCATACTGGTTCAAAATATCTGCATGTTTCATATCTTTCAATGGCATTAAAGCCGCGCTGAAAATACCAGCTATATCTGGTTCACCATTCACTTCCATTGCGTCTACAACTTCTTGGAATTGTGGTTGTAAGTTTATGAACCACCTATCCGGGTTAGCTTTATGACCCCATCTCATTGTAGTTCCATAGTCTGCAGAAACAAAAGTAGGTTTGTTTCCATATTGGTTAGGTTCTGAATGAACTTTAAACAATGTTTCATTTCTATATGTTTTGTTGAAATTTAACCTTTTATTTTCACCGAGTTCAGCCAAAGATTGAACGTTATATGGTCGTAAGTAAAAAGGGTTGTTGTATTTGTGTACATTTTCTTTCAGTACTTCCATTCTATGCTGAATATTTTCATCTGGTGTTGGAGTCTTTTGTATGTCGGCAAACATTTTTCGATATTCTTCTATAGGGTGTCCAAAGGTGTGTTTAGCACAAACCTGAATACTGCGAATAGAAATAAACAAGTTACATATATATAAAGTTTCTTTAAATATAATCACCATTGGATTCAATCACGCGTTCGCAGCGATCGATCCAGGCTTGAAAGACACGCTTTAAATCATCATGAGAAAATTGCTCAAATTGCTCTCTTACAAAATTTTCAAGATCATCTGGACTCGCGAATTCGCGTCCTTCAGCTCTCTTTTTTAGCGTGCCGAATAAATAAAAGTCAGAGAGTGCAATATCAGGTGAATAAATTGGGTTTGGAACAACTTTGACATTGTTTTCCACCAAGTAATTCATTACCTTATGACTTTTGTGAACTCTTGAATTATCAAAATGAATTGCAAACTTTTGTTTTTGTTGTTTGGATTTCTCAAACTCATCAGAATTGATAATTTGAGTAAGAACATTGTCAATTAGATACTGAGCATTCATCGTATTAGGTTTTTGAAGAATATCAATTGCGATGATGCCATTCACGCCCCAAAAAACCGACAACATCATCATTGGTGTGTCAATTTTTTTCTTCGGGAATGTTTGCGGATTTTCATCCTTCGGGATCCACATGATTTTGGCTTCTGTTGCATATTGAAACCAAGACTCGTCCCCATGTCAGCCGAATTTTTTTTAGACTCTTTGAAAGATTCCATATTCACCTCATACTCTTGTTGATGGTCAAGATTTTTCGGCTGTTCCAAATCTTCATCTAGTTCTGTGAAGTTAGTTTCCAAAGGAGGGACTTGTTCGTTTCCTTCAGGCTCTTCTAGCTGTTGTTGCTGAACTATTTCTTCCATGTCTGGTTGTATCTGAACTTCTTCCTGTGGAGTATCTTGTACCTCATCTGCTGGCATTTCATATATTCCGAGACCGTTTTTAACAAGTTCCCTATCTAAGTCATCCGGACTCATAAACCTTTCTTCTTTCGTTCCGTCTCTATTTTTTACGCGTTTCATGAAGAGAGTTGAATTGTCATTTAGCTCTGACACCAAATATCTCGGAGTAAATTCAGTCATGTCATTTGGATGATATGCTATTAAATCATATCCCTTAGCGAGCTTGTATTTTCCAGGTTTGAAATTATATCCCATTTGGTGCTGAGCCATAAAGCTAAATAGGTTCGGGTCAGTATTTCCTTCCTTGAACTTTCTAATAGCTTCTTTATATCTGTCACTAAAGTCAAGAGTATCTGGGTAACCATAGTCTTCCTTAAGCATTTTTAAGAATTCTTGGTTTCCTTGTTCTCTACTTCTTTTATGTCCTTGCTCTGTTTGTGGTTGTTGCTGTGCAGTGTTTTGAACTGTTGGTTGTGGTGCAGTGTTTTGAACTGTTGGTTGTGGTGCTGGATTTTGAACTGTTGGTTGTTGTGTTGGTTTTGGTGCATGCCTGTGTCTGTGTCCATGTGACGATGTAAATGTTTTAGGTAGTCCTGGTGCAGGTGCTTCTCTTGGAGGGTTTGGTGGTATATAAGTTCCACCAGCTGGCACATATGTTCCATCTGCAGCATAATGTCCTACCTGACTTTTCGTTTTTAAGAAAGCATTTACTAGGTCTGTTTTGGTCTGTTGTAACTCTTTTTCTTGACTTTCCACAACAGTTGCTCTAACGGCGTCATAGGCACTTTGAACTGCCTGTCTCGTTGCTGCATCTGTTATTTTCGTCATATTTTGTGCTACTTCTCTTAACTCTTTGTCGAAACCTTCAGACTTCAGTTTCTTTCCAGATGAGAAGTCGTTCACTAGTTTCACCTTACTATGAAGAGCTTCGAAGGCGTTCTTAAAGTCAGCATTCATTAAAGCTTCATTTGAACTGTCTTCATCCGCTTGTATTTTTGTCCTTATTGACCCTATAAGTTGGGCTGCTTTAGCGTTGGCTTGGGCATCTAACCAGTCATTGTTAGCTTTTATATATTCTGCGCTTTTCATTGCCTTTTGCATGGCTGCGTCGTTATTTTTACTTTCTTGTGCTAAGTTTTCATACTGTACGGTTTGGTTTTGCAACTGTAAAAGTTTTTCTGCCTTTACATTTGCTTCAACTTCTTTTTTATACTCATCGCTATCCATATATGTCTTCAGGGCTTTTTGTTTTATCTCTTCATCTTTCAGTACTTTATATTGAGTAGTATGGTTTTTCAAATTTATGACATCTTGTTCCATTTTTGCTACTTCTGCTGCTTTTTCTGACACTTTTTTCGCATATTCCTCTGTACTTAGTTCTTTCAGTTGTTCTTCTTTCTTCTTTTTCTCTACGTTTAACTCATTGAGTTTCTTTGTGTGTCTGTCATATTCTAGTTTCTTTTCGTTTTCACTTATTTGCTTCTGTATGTCTATGTTTGACTTTTTGACATCTGATATTTGATTTTTGAGTGAACTCAAATTCATTTGACTTTGAGGGTTATAAGCTGTTCCGTCTGCAGCTCCACCATAGCCTGCCATTTTCGCTAAAAGTGCCGCTCTTAAACCTCCACTCTGTGCACCAAAAACTCGGTTTAAAAGCATAGGATTGCTTGACATTTGTTGCAACATAGTGAGGTCATTCATTATTTGTTGTTGCAACTGTTGTTGTGGTGTCAGTTTTACTATTGGATGTTTCAATGCTCTCTTCCTCTTACGTATATTCTTACGTAGCTTACGTGGCATTTTAAGTGAAGTTAAAAAGCGGTTTTTGACAGATGTTTATATGACACTTTCTCCGGTTTATAGGACCTCTCTCATATTCTATCTTGTCATATCTAAACTCATAGTCATGTATGTCCTCTAACCATCTCATAACGGTTTCCAAACCACTTTTATCGGATGTAAAGTAAAAGCATGGATGGTTATGTAAAACGTCTAAAGTTTCTAAAGAGTCTCTCAAAGTATACTTCCTTGGAACGCCCGTAACTTTTCCTGTAGCGACGATAGACCCTTACTTGTCCGGACAAAGTTATACTATTTTGAGTGCTCTACCAAAAAAGTCAACGACGACGACTCTCAAAAATTTTTTATGGGCTAGAGGGCGCAACGCGCCCGGGAAGCCCCCAATACCCAAAAAACTTCATTTATACTAAACATCTTCAGGGCTAGAGGGCACGAAGTGCCTGGAGGCCCCACTACCTTTTTTTTTTTTTTTTTTAAAGTGCATTTAAATGATTAGAAATACCAAAGTGGGAATTTGGTAAACGTTTTGATCACTCAAATATTGATCTCATAATAACGTGCTGCTCAAATCAATATTATTAATCATTATCATTTAAATAAATTGAAATATTTGAAATGCTTTTCAATATTTGAATTACCGGCAAACCGCTGCTTGTCACTTTTCAGATTTGGTTGGTTAAAATGATGATACAAATATTCCATATGATATTTTAACACATTATTAAAATATTGATCAAAATTAATAGTCCCATTATAGATCCGTATTTTTCCCAAGTGAGCGGGGTATCTCTAATCCCAGCCCTATCATCCTCCCAGTGTCAGTTTTTAATATAAAATCCAAAATTTTTTTAAAAATAAAAATTTCGAGAAATTTTTCTAGTTTTTTTTTCTTTGATTTCAATAATTCAAAATAAATTTTGGAGTAAAAAGACACTATTTAATGAAATTCATATGAGTGAATGTGGATAAATACTCTCAAAACATACAATTTATATATTTTTTCTTTATATTATCAACTAATTAGTGATAATTTTTTTGAATCAGATTTTTTTTCATTAAAAATATAATATATAACGCAATAATGATGTACACATACGCATCTACACATCAAAATATAAAGTTTGTTTTGGTCTGGGCACCCCAACCCAAAATTCTAAAAAAAATGAATAAAATTGAATACTTGGGGCTGGGATACCCAGCCCGAAACCGAATTGAATTTTTTGAATTAAAGAATATATTTACGTATTTATAATATATATGTGATGTTTATAAAAAATACTAAATTTTTGTAAAAAAATTCAATTTATTCAAAACGTATATTAAGTGATCACTTCATTAGTAGGATCAGCGATCCTACTAAATGGTGAGAATGCCACTAGCTAAAAAGGGAGTCCTTGGAGCTCTTGATCTCTTGTCAGTAGAGTCCATAATAAGGCATGGCATCTACTGATTAGAGATCAGAGCAATCCTACCTTACCTTCAGGAGCTACAAAGCTCCTAATCGTTACGAGAGGGAGCCTTAGAGCTCCTGAAGCTCATCAGCAGAGGATATTTACCATTTGGGCCTCTTTTGATGAAAGATGCGAAGCCCATCTACGAACCAGGAGCTCCAAAGCTCCTATTCCTTACGAAAGGGAGCTCTGGAGCTTCTGAAACTCCTCCTATTATAAAATAGGACAGTTTTCTTCTGAGGCTTCTCATCAAATCTAAGACTTCAGAAGAAAGCTGTCCTATCCGTGTATACTTACATTCTGATGGACTACAAGTGTACAACTTTAAGGCAGAGATTATCCGAGGCCTCTCATCAAATGAGGGACCTCGGATAATCTCTGCCTTAAGTAGTCAAATAGCTTTTCTGACTATTCAGGGACAAGAGAACAAGAGTTGGAATACTCTAAGGCAAGGTTCTTTCGAAATCTCTCATCGAATGAGAGACTTCAGAAGGACCTTGCCAAATCCTTGAACACAGATATCCTTGGAACCGAGCTAGGACCAAGGAGAAGTAGTGTACTATAGCGCACGATGGCAATCTCGGAAATACTTATATTGCCACATGCACAATATCTATTCAGCCTGACTCCTATATACAAGAAGTCAGGCAGAATAGATATTGTGCATATGATTTGCAGAACTCTCATATATATAAATTTTTGTTATCCCAAAAAGGTGACACTTTGGGTGTATCGTCCATCCCAGGGATGCAAAATTCACATCACCTTGTATCTATAGTCCCATCACACTTTTCAATGCTCGATTTTTAAAAAAGTCTTTAAAAATGGAGCTTATAGTAGTAGGATATGATGGGTTTTGTGACTTTTTTTGTTACATCTGTTGTAAACAGAAATTCATCAAAAGTGACACCTCAGAAAAGCTAAAATATTGAATTTTTGGAACTTTTGATAGAGCACGTTTTTAAATATTAATTAAAGTAAATGTATATTTTGTAAAGATTCTTTTTAATAAAAAAGTAAAATTTTGAAGAAGAACACAAAATCTTCTGAAAAATAATATCACATAAACTCATATTATTTTCTAATATATAACTATTTTATATAAAAATCAAATTCAATGATCTTAAAAGCGAAGGATAAACCTCAAAATTTACGAATATAATGAGTGGGAATATAATGCTTATCTATCATAAAACCATATGAAATATTAATTTTTGCTTTACGCCTAATTTTTGACGACAATTAGCAAAAAATGTTAAATGTTAACACTCAGTCCATTTGAATATGAAAAATAAAATTGACTTTGATTAAATGTTTTTATTTATCATGCAATTCTTCTTGCGACCAAAGATTTGAATAAAAGTTCAAAAAATAAGATAGCTTAAAAAATAATATACGGTAGTGTTTACTAATAGATGAATAGTATATAAATTCCATTAAAATGGATTTGATCCAAAAAAATATATAAAATTTGATCATAAATAAAATCGTTTTAAATTACTTCTTCATTTAAATTATAACAATTATTTTTGATTTTTATTTATCATCCACATTCAAATTTGAATCTTATCACAAAAGAAGGACCACTTTTATGACCACTGCCAAATCTATAAACAGAGAATGGCTATTTGAAGCTAAAAGAAGAATAGAAGAAGGTGATAGTTATATAGACCACCCTCAGAAAAGCACTTTTAAGGCTATTATATTGAGAACTAGAATCTGGATAATCCATTCATTCGAGTTCTAATAAGGTTAATTTTGTGATGTTTACATTATCGTTATAGGGCACCCTTAAATTATAACAATTATTTTTGGTTTTATATTTTTTTGGATCAAATCCATTTTAATAGAATTTATATACTATTCATCTATTAGTAAACACTACCGTATATTATTTTTTAAGCTATCTTATTTTTTGAACTTTTATTCAAATCTTTGGTCGCAAGAAGAATTGCATGATAAATAAAAACATTTAATCAAAGTCAATTTTATTTTTCATATTCAAATGGACTGAGTGTTAACATTTAACATTTTTTGCTAATTGTCGTCAAAAATTAGGCGTAAAGCAAAAATTAATATTTCATATGGTTTTATGATAGATAAGCATTATATTCCCACTCATTATATTCGTAAATTTTGAGGTTTATCCTTCGCTTTTAAGATCATTGAATTTGATTTTTATATAAAATAGTTATATATTAGAAAATAATATGAGTTTATGTGATATTATTTTTCAGAAGATTTCATTCTATATGCCTATGAAAAGTACTCTCAAAACTAACTTTTTCCTAATTATAATTAAATCTAGAATATTGTATTATGCTTAGCATTATTTCATTTTTCTCATTCAATTTAGAATTTACAAATGTCAAAAAATTGAGAGCTGTCACTTTTGATGAATTTCTGTTTATTACACATCTATATATAGACGATGCATTAAAATATATTTATTTATAAACCATTAAAAAAATTAATATTAATTCCAAATTACCCAGATTTTCCTTACTTTTACCACTCCCCATGTAATTTCTGGGGAAAACGATAATTCTTTTTTTTTATGGATGAATAGATCGTTTTCCTAGAAAGGACCTCATATCTCTGGCTAAAAAGAGTGTCAGATCCTAAATAGGTTATTGATCTAGTGTACAAATCCAATAAAAAGCCTATTTTTTTGGCTTTTTTGGTGCTCATTTTTTCGAAGATCTACATGAATATGGGGAAACCATCGGATTTTTTTGGTTAACCCACATCTTCATGTAGTCTGGACTATCTTTCCTCGACGGACCTCTTTACGGGTGTAAAAACTCATAAAGTTCTCAAAAGATTCATTCTCGATCTCCATGCTGAAAGAATTTACAATAAAAAAGAGATCTACGCATCAAACTACAGCCATAAATGAACTGAACCCCTAAAGCTCAGCTCTTAGTTTATCAAAAACGTCGAAATCCTTCTCATTGCAATCAAATTTCTCAATAACTCATAAGAAAAATCGAATTTTGATTAAGCCGATGTTATAGGTATCACAAATACTACAAACTTGAGCAATATCGAAATTGCCAGCAAAAGTTTGAAATTGCATTGCTCATATTTGTTTTGTAAACTAAAAATCTGCTTATATTATTCATTAATTTTTTATATATTATTCATATACTTTAATAAAAACAATACTATTTCACCTTAAAAATGAATTTCATAAGTCAATATTATTTTTTTGAAAATGTATCAATTTTCGATTAAAACAACATGAGAATAAAATTTACGCAAAATTATTTTAAAAATGGTTTTAAAAATTTACAATTGATGAAGACTAAGATTGCAAGAAGTTTTGAAGTTTAATTTTAAGAAAAAAAATTCGGATATTATTTATGGATCTAAGTAATCTGATATTTGAGTATCGGCACTATGCATAAAACATATATTTATAGTTTTTTTGGATTTTTATGATTTTAAATATATTCAAATTTGGCAATCCAATAGATTTTTAAAAAATAGGTAAATAAAAATAGATTACATATGCAACAGATTTAGAACATGAAACAAATCTTATAGTGACCCAAAAAAAAATTCATGATCCAAAAAAGAAAAAAATGGGTAAATGAGAATCAAACCTTGGCATAATGAATCATTATGTATGATGTTTCCACTACACCGGCAGTTCGAAAAATACCCTTGGTGGTTCTATTTAATAGCTACTCCCAACGATAGGCGGTGTCCCCAGCTTTAGAGAGGTGGTAAAAGTAAGGAAAATCTGGGTAATTTATTTTTTCATCTTTTATAAAAGACCCAACAAGTAAAACCAGATAAAATAGATTATCGAATTTTAGAGGATGGTGTTCCTGTTTATATTCAAAGATTTAAAGGGAAGCAATATTATAGAATTGTTAATCCTGAATACATAAAACATATATTTAAAAAGGAAGACTGTGAATTATTAAACGTTAATGAATATGAAACCATAAATCAAAATTGAAATATAAATATATTTGGAAGTGATGAAAGGTGCAAAGATAAAGATAAAGTTTATACAGTTTCATATAATGAATGGAAAACCAATAAGATAAGAAAACATTTAGGAGATTATGGGAAATGTTCTGAATTCTTTAAATCTAGTATATACGAGAGAGTAAAAAAAATTAGAAATAATTATTTTCATGAATAAAAGATTCACTACCATAATGAAATAAAAATAAAAAATTTTTAAAAATAAACTTCTTACGAAAAAATTAAAACTTAGTTATGTTTATTATTTTATTTTTTTATTTTGTATGAAATGAGCGTCAAAACTAACAACGTTAAAAAATTAGGATTCACAAACGAGGAAATAAAGGATATATTAGAGAGGAGGTTATGAAGTTGATAAATATTATTTAAGAAATTGTCAAAAATTTGCCGAGTTATTAAATGATTTAGATTATGATGGAAAAATGAATAAAGATGATGTTATAAATTTCTTATATCCCACATCTGAAGAAGAAAAACCTAAAGAACCTGATGTTTTCCCCGAATATTATGAAGAACGGATTAAAGATGATGAATACAATGAAATTGAAAGACTGAAAAAAATAAGAGATGAAATAGATGAAAAAATTAAGGAATTAAGAGAAGTTGAAAAATATAATGAAAATGAAGTAGAGGGTTTAATGAATATCCCAGCTTCAGAATCAGAAGTTCAGAAATCTCATGAAGAAAGATATAAAAATTATGTCTCAGAATCAACACAAAATTTATTAGATGGTGAAATAGACGAAACACTTTCAGAAGAAGGTACTAAATTTATTCGTAAACATAAGTTACAATTTATTGATAATGAAGAATACCCTGTATCTACTTTCACCCCTCTCGATTCTGAGAAATTCAAAAAAGCTCTTAAAAACGTGACATATGCAACTAATACGATTAAGAAAGAAGATCATGATATTTACACAAATTATTATTTAAATAAATGCACAGGTGTTGATAAAGTTTTTGATTTATTAGATAAAATATCAAAAGAAACCATTGGAACATATAAAATTTTTTGTGATTGTGGTTTCATTATTGAAGATACTAATAATGTTTCATATGAAAGAACAGCACCGAAGGAAGACGAAGTTGAAAGGTCTATACCATTCGTTATTAAGAACATAAAAGATATGAAAACTTATAAGCATTATATTTATTCATTTATTTCAGAAAAAATGGAAGCAACCCATAAAACATCTTCTCATCATTTTATAGCTATTCATACATTCCTTTTCAAAGTTGTGAAATTAAATAAGACAGGAATTAGATTTAATGTATCAGGGTACGCATTCTTGAGTAAATTAAAATGTATTCGTCACGTCGCAGATGATAAAAATTTATGTGTTCTTAATTCATTTTATGGGCTTTAAAAAATAAACTTTATTTTTTAATTTTTTATTCTTACATAAATGAACAAAAACGGAACAGCTAAAATGAATGATAATCAAATTAGAGCAGAAGGTAGAAGGTTATTTAAACGCTTCTATAACATTCCTGATGGTGTTAATCCTAAAACTCGTAGAAGCTATTTAAATGAAGCAATAGATGCATATGAAGGGTTTGACATTTCATCAGAAAGTGAGAGATTAGCGAGAATGTTAAATGTTAATATTGATTTCTATTATTGTGATCCTCAACCAGAAGACGTGGACATAAATAAGGTAGACTTTCCATTAGTGGAATCAATAATGATAGATCCAGAATTTGAAACAGTAAATATTTTATTAACACAGAGTCCATGTGGAAAACTTCACGCTGACAGAATAACAGACGTTGAAGCACTCACCGGCTATAAAGTTTGTCCATATTGTAAAGAAGAAGTTTATTCTATCCGTGATGATCCAGAAAGGAAAAACCAAAGAAGATTTTTAAAGCATTGTGAGAAATGTAAAGAAAATAATGGAAGATTAATTCAAGACGTTCAATTGCAAAAGACACAGCAACCATATGCACCACATATTACGAAACAGAAGATATATCAGTGGTTATTAGCTCACAATTTGCAGGAATATTATCAACCGACAAGATATTATATTACTTTTGACTTTGAAACATTAGAGACTAAAGAAGAATTACAACTTTCTGAGTGTGCAACTTTGAACGCTTACTTAAAACCATTCATGGTATCATCAACGGTTAAATTAAACGATAAAACATATACGAGGAATTTTTGCTTAACTTCGAGTGATTCTTTTATTTCTGATTGGATTGAGTTTTTATTTTCAACCTGTTCATTAGTTGCTAAATCAAATATGAGTCAATACGATGAATTATTGAAGCCGCAAACGGCGGGGACTTTGTCCCATACATTAAATGAAAAACAGAAGGAAGTATTTAAAGAACTTCTAGATGAGGAATTCAATAAAGTGAATATCATAGGTTTTAATTCGGGAAAGTTTGATTTAAATTTAATTCTTCGTGATTTAAACACTGCAAAATGGAAAATAAAATCAATGCTGGGTTCATCTTCACAATTTAAGCAAATCATTGTAAAGAAAACAAACGTTCCATATGAATTGAGATTTATTGACATCAGAAATTATATAGCGGGTGGGACATTAGACCAATTCACTCAAGATTTCGGAAACAATAAATCACGCGTTAAATCCTTTTTCCCTTATCAATTCATCACGTGGGAAAATTACGAAGAAGAATTATATAAAAAGGAGCCATTCACTCAAGATTCATTTTATTCAGCATTAACTCAAGAAACTATATCAGATAGTGATTATCAAATATATCTCAATGATGCTAAAAATTTTAAGAATAGATTAGAATATTTTATTCATTATTGCAATAAAGATGTTGAAATTATGATTGACCCAATCGATAAAATCATTGAAGAAACATTTGTTTATAAAATTGATATGCTTCATAATCTTTCTTTATCATCGAATGCTTCAATGATTCGTTACGCTTTAGCATATAAAGACTTTAATCCTAATGAAAAATATCCTGAGGAAGAGATAGAATCAAGTTTTGAATTAACGAAAAAGTATTGGAAATATAAAATTGAATCATATAAGAAACAAGATGAAAAAGCAGAAAGGGATACTAAAAATAATGTTTCAATGGATGATTTTCAATACTATCACGATTTAATCCTTTCATCTAAATGCAAAATGTGTGGTAAAGCGTTTACATATGCAAATAAACCAACATTGGATAGAATAGATAATGAAAAACCACATACTAAAGAAAATTGTCAGTTAATGTGTTGTTATTGCAATGTCGTAAAATCAAATAAAAATGAAGATGTTCAACGTTTAAGAATCAATTTAAGAAATTATGCATTAAAAAATAATTTACCAATGACTTTAGATTCAGTTGAAGCTTATCACATTCTCCGTAATGGAATTACTGGTGGTCTATCAAATGTTCAACATAGAGTAAATCTTAAAGGAATCACGCACATTAATAAACTTTCATATAGTCCAGAAACTAAAACTGTATCAAATGAGGACACTTCCAACATCATGACTAATTTCGTTGGTGTTGATTTTAATTCATTATATCCTTCATCATTTTCATCTAATCCTCATGATTTCATTCAATATACTGACCATAAAATGTATATGCCGGGAAGATTGAATGGTGTTATCATTTGTGATACAGCAACAAAGAAAGCAAAAGCACTGGGAATAATTAAGAAGAAAAATACTTTATTCGTGGCTGAAGTAAAGGGTCACATTGATGAAAAATACATTAATGATTACATAAACTTTTTACCGATAATAAGAAACTTAGATATTATCACAGATGAAAAAACAATTGGCAGTTTTATGTATAATTACATGAAATCAAACAATCTACCAGTTGACCAGAAACAGAGGAAATTAACTCAGTTAGCATCAACACACAACCAATATCAACCATTTTCTTCTTATTATCTTTGGTATCTAATAGACAGATTTCATTTTATCATTGATGATATTCAATCAATTTTAACATTTACGAAAAACACTTGTTTTAATGAATTTGCGAACAAATTTATGAACGAAAGACAAAAGGCTGAATTAGAAGGAAATAAAGGAAAAAGTTTATTTTGCAAGATTTCACTTAATGGATCATATGGTTACGATGCAATGAATACACAAAATTACGCAAAGACTAAAATAATGAATGCACAGAAGGCACGCGTTGCATGTATGTCAAATAAGTTTAAAAACATAAGAGAAATAGGTGAAGATACATATCAAGTGATGCTTAAAGATAGATTTTATAGATGTGATACATGTTTACAAGAGGCATTCTTCACTTTAGATAACGCAAAATACTGGTATTTAGTTTTCATTTATGATTTTATGTATAAATGCATGGATGTTAATCGTTTTCATTTCATTGAAGGTGATACTGATTCATCTTATTGGGCAATCGCTGGCGACCCAAATCTTCCTAACACTCAAGCATTTCAGGCGATTGTTACTGATAAAAAATTTTATGATAAAAACATTTTCAAATTCGCACCATTTGATTTCTTCTGTTTTGATGAGAAATTTAAACCTAAATTAAAGAATAAAGCTGAAGAAAAAGCACATGAGAAGAAGTTATTGGGTTTAGCAATTGAGAAACAAGGTGATAACATGGTTGCTTTATGCCCTAAGTGTTATACATCATTCAACGGTTCAATTGATGGAAGTGATTTTAAAAAGATTGCACAAAAAATGAAAGGTGTTAGTTTACGACAAAATAAACAATTAACACCTAAAAATTATTTGGATATAATAAATGATAAAGTGATATTTGATGGTCAGAATATTAATTTACAACTTAAAAACGGGTTGATGACTCGCTTAACAATCGGTAAGACTGCATTAACAGGAGCACACACTAAGGCTGTATGTTGTGAAAATGGATGTTGTATGCCATTTATTTAATACAATTTAAAATTTTATTAAAAATAAAATGCCACAGAAGAGACAAAAGGAACCGTTAATGATGCGATTCAATATGTAAATAATGGTTTTGATACTATGATTCAAAGAGGTGGGCACCCTTAAAACATTTATTTTATTTTTATATAAATGGATAACGCAGATTTAGAAAATTTAATTGATGATTTAGTACTTAATCAAAATTTTCTTAATTATTATGAATTAAAATCATATCTCCAAAAACATAATAAAAATATAACGGGTGATGATATGGATTATTATTATTCGTATTATAAAAATGAAATTTTGAAATATCATGATAAAATAATTTCTGAAATTAAAGACAAAATTAAAAATAATGAATATACAAAGGGAAAAACTAAATCACAACTTAAACAGTTGAAAGATTTCAAAAATAAAGTATTAACAGAAGAAGATATTGATGAATTATATAAATTATATAATCCTGAGCCGCAAAAACCAAAGGAACAAAAACAAAAGAAGAAAAAGCCGAAAACAACACCAAAAGAGAAAGTAGCAAATGTTCAACAGCTAAAGGTGCAAAACGCCCAGGTCCTTCAGACCATAAATGAAGCACAAGCTTTAATTTATGATTCATTAGTTAAACCATATTCAGCCCGACTTTTAAATGAAGATCAACTTTTGGAATTCATCCTTCAACATAAACTCGAAGCGGGAAAGTATATCAAACCTTTATATACAGCATATTTAAAACAAATGAATAGAATACATCCAGAATTAATGAAAGGAAAATCAACAACTAAAACTTCATCATCCAAAATCAAAGCGGATAAAATTAAACCACTTGCAAACCAAAACCTCCAACGGTAGTACCTCCTCCTTCAGTTAATCCTTCATCATTCACTTTATTATATCCATTTCAAACATTAAAGAAAAAAAGATTTTAAAAAGGATTTCAAGATATTAAATAAACCAATTGACCCGAAAATTCAACCGTTAAAGGAAAAATTTAGTCGCCCTTAATTTGCCATATCCATATTCATACGAAATCGATCATCTGGAATATTCAAAAGGAAACGTTACTTATTTATTTGCCATTAACATTAACACTAGATATTTATATTGCATTCCAGTGAAAGGGAAAACAGAACAGGAAACAAGAAGAGCTATTCAATACTTACTAGATCATGAAAGAGTAGATAATATCAGGGGTGATGGTGATAAAGGATTTCAGGCAGCTATGGCTCATTATTTCCCACAAATTAATTTTTTCTTTTCATCCTCTCCATATACGTTTCATAATAAAATAGTTGATGCGGTAATGAGAACTCTTAGAGATGCGTTAGGAGTTAACGGTCAGATATACTGGGATGGAAATCATGACTCCATCATACAGCAGTTAGTATATTATTACAATAATACATGACATAGAACTATAAACATGAAACCAGTGGAAATGAAAAATGATATTTCAAAAGAATGGGAATATATTAGAAAACAAATGGAAAGGTTAAATGATGTTAAACGTGAACAAATTAATTCGGGGCTCATGAATTTTAAACAAGGGGATAAAGTTTTGATTCATCTCGATTATGGAAAAACTGATAAATCAATGACAAAAAGAAGACGAAGATTTGACACAATAGCTGAATTTGTTAGATATATTAACGGCAATGCATTAGTTGAAGTTGACAATAAATTAATAGAAATTCCGATTTATTTTATTACTCCATTATATTTAAATAATATTTAATTTTTTTATTTCGTAAGAAATGAGTGACAACAAAGCAGCCAAGAGTCCTGATTCAATTAAGATTCAGAGTCCAGACGATGAATATAAAAAGAAACTAAACAGAATTAAATCAAAAATATGCTATTACAAAAAGAAGCCGCAATGCGGTGGGGCTGATGCCCATAAAACTAAAGTAATTGAAAACGATAAAGAGAGGAAAGAAATAATCGAAAAATTAGAAACTTACCGTTCAATCCTTAAACTGAGTGAAGCAAAAATAAAAGAATTTAATAGAATAAATAAATTGATTGGAAGAGATGAATTTAATAAAGATGAATTTTTAAACTCTATCCAAATTTAATTTTTATTCCTCTTCGACAACGTCTCTTCAAGATGCCGAACCCTTCTGGGTTCTTCTTTCCATCATTACTGCATAACCGCATCTTCTCGGTTTTCGTGGTTTGTTGTTTTTAATTAGTTCTTGCATCATTTTTATCATTTCCTCCCTTGTTATGATTCGTGGTAAATTTTGAGCTTGTGGGGTATCCATTTATATAAAAATAAAATTTTGTTATCAGTTATTTTATCATTAATGGTTTTTAGGTTATTCAATAATTAATTATTTTTGAAGAACTGAAGGTGTCACTACGTCACCATGTGTCACCTGGTTAATTAACTTCTCTTAAAAATGATGACAACATGACATTTTGACAACAGGTACGAAAGGAGGAAGGCATTTATGAATTATTTTTGAATAACTGAAGGTGTCACTACGTCACCATGTGTCACCTGGTTAATTAACTTCTCTTAAAAATGATGACAACATGACATTTTGACAACACAGCAGGATTAATGCAAAAATAAATTCCAATCATACTTTATAAAGCTTCATTTACAGGTATTTCATCATCAGTAAATGAATCCTCATTATCGTTTGGTTCAACCTGTTTATATAATCCTTTCATTTCTTCTTTCAAAACATAACACCACGTCTGTTTACCATCTATTCTTCTCTGTTTCCTATCACATTTATCCTTAATGCTCATTTGAAAGTTTTTGTCTTTCATGTCTGATGGTTTGCAGAATAGAGCATTTTTACACGTCATACCTGCACACAGTTCATCATAATGTGTATTTATCCATACATCTAAAGGATTTGTTGATAATTCTATTAAATCTTGTTTGGCTTCAGTCATCGGTATAATTCGTACGTTAAATGATGAAAGGTCGTAAGTGAGGAAATATGTTAAAAGGTTATCATAAAATTCCTTTGTGCATGAATTCATCAAATTCTTGAAGTAATCAAATTGACCCTTGAATTTACCATTAACTCTTAAAACTACGTATCTTCTGTCTCCAACTTCAATTTTGACAGGGTAGACGTTATTAGTTACCAAAATGAAATTGGCAACATTCTGAGCAGTTCTTCTGGGTTGATTCTTTTCATTAATTCTAATCTCATTATCCGTAATAATTGATTTCAAAGCGTTGAAGTTTGCAAGTCTGTCTTCACCTACATTCTTGAGTTCATTAAGTACAAGAAACATTTTATTCTCAACTACTGAATTGAAATTACCCGCTAGCTCACTTATTTCGGTAATGTTTTTACATGAATAACCGGCGAGAAGTTCAGAAATAATGTCTGTAAATCTGTTTTTACCTGTTCCCTGAAGTCCTTTCAAAATAATTGCTGTTTCATTCTTGATTCCAGGATGTTGAATCATTGATGCAATCCAGCCGAGAAGGTATTTATACACTTCATCGTTATTATCACAAATGGCTTCTTTAATGAAATCCATAAACATCTCAATTTTTGAGTAATCTGGTTTTTCGAGAACGTTGTATTTATAACCCTGAAACGTTGAGAAAACATCTGGAGAATCAGATTTAAAGCAAACACCCTTAACGGTTAATGAGGATAATTGATTTAGTAGTACATCCCATGCTGTTATTGTTTTACCTTCTTCTTTAAATAATTTAATCATTTTAAGTGACTCTTTCATGTTTGATTGAAGAACGAATGATATTTGATTCATTTTGTCGTGGATATTATAGTCCTTTTGAATGAAGTATTTATTTCCACAATCTACAAAACGGATTACACGTGATAAATCCTCAATTACTTCAGAACTGTTTTTATACTGATGATTTTCAGCCTTGCGTCTAATATCTGTTATCAAAAACGAGTCATCAAGTTTTATATCAAATGTTATTTTTGGCTTACGTAATAAAAAATATTCATCATAATATTCCTTTTGATATAGTTTTAGAATCTTCACTAAAACAAATGGAGAAGTCATTAAATGTGCATATCTACTACGTGCTTTTTCAAAATTACTTTTTGCATTTTCAGTTAAATTGCAGAAGTTATAAACGTTATCGTATGCTTCATTAATTAAATGATTAGGTAACGAATTAATTGCTTGAAACAGTGTGAATAATGTAACTTCTTTTTCTAAATTCATGTTTCCACCGTCATTATGTACTTCAAAATCACTGATGCCATCAACTATGCTCTGAGCTAGTTTATCGTCAATGTTTACATCTTTGTTTTCATTCATGATAGTCTTTATTTCTTCGTTCTTTTGTTCAACTCTTACCTTAATATTCAAATCATTTAATATATCATTCACTGTTCTAGTTAATGTTGAATCGTAACTTCCACGAATGAATGAGTATGTATTGATTGGTTGTGTTGCATTCTTGCGAACTCTTGAATCAGCCATAACTACTAAAGAACGCTTTGAATCATCCATAGAAGTCATTATGTCAATATCATAATCATTGCAGGAATAGCATTTAATCATTCTGTTCGAAACTGCATAGAAGAAATTAGTGTTACAATAAATGTGAAGACCTCCTGAAGCGGTTTTAACGATAACATCTTTATCCGAAAGTTTTGATAGAATGTCTTTTCTAACTGTTTCTTTAAGTTCATCATTGTACGATTTATTGATATCAACATCTATAATCGTTAAATTTGAAATTTTATTTACTAATAAAGCCATACCAGTTTTCCTTCCTCTTCCTCCATCATGTTTGAGGTAGTTATGTAAATCAATCTTGTTTTCACCAATTCTTTCGTTGAGGGTTTTAGTTTCTGCCACAACTAATTCCTCAGCTAATGAATCAATAACTTTTTCATCAGAAACGATATAGTTGCTGTTGTTGTTTGTTGCTGTCATTTATATAGGAATAAAAAAATAAAAATAATTTTAAAACTAACTTTATTTTTGGACTGCATCAAATTTCCGGGAATGTTGTCAAAATGTCATGTTGTCATCATTTTTAAGAGAAGTTAATTAACCTGGTGACATGGTGACGTGGTGACACTGAAAACATTCATGAAAACATTTACGAAACATTAACGTAAACATAAACGATAAAATTTATTTCCGGGAATGTTGTCAAAATGTCATGTTGTCATCATTTTTAAGAGAAGTTAATTAACCAGGTGACACATGGTGACGTAGTGACACCTTCAGTTCTTCAAAAATAATTAATTATTGAATAACCTAAAAACCATTAATGATAAAATATATTTTTGGTCGTTTATGACAAAAATAAATGGTTTATTTACTCACAATATTTTTGTACAAAACAACCCCAAACTTTTAACTTCTTTTCTGCAGTTTCTAATGCTATCTTAGCGAGTTCATATTCTCTAAATTCTCTCTTTAAATCTTCTTGTTCCCATTGGTCTAGTTCGTATGGAGAATCTCTATAACCATAACATATCTCACGTTCATGTTCTAATTGTTTTTCATGCATTTTTCTAACTTCTTCTTCAAACAAATGTTTTGCATTCTCTACTGTATCTTCGAGTTCTTCTTCATCTAACTTCTCATGAACTTTCTTGTCTATGGAGTCCATAATTTTTCCAACTGCTATGCAATATTTTGGAGAAGCCCACATTGCTATATAGTTTATAAGTCTTGGGTCTACATACGTTCCTCTAACCTGTTTGATTTCATCAGGAATTCCTGCATGAATTTTGTATAAAAAGCAACCGCCGGAATTCGGACTGTTGCTATATTCTTCACAAAACGCCTTATAATACTCTTCCCAGGACTTATTTTCCAACAACTTTCTAAAGTCTTTCCTAAACTGCTGACACATCTTTGTTGCATTAATGTAATCATCCTTGTCTCTACGTAAGACTTCAATACCATTATAAGTGCCTTTTGTGAATGTTTCACCATTAGATTTGTTCGTGAATGTTTTTGCTTCGACTGACATTTCTGTTCTTACATACAAAATAAAAAAATAAAAAAATAAAACTAACTTTATTTTTTTTAATCTTAAGGAAATTCATGAAAATTCATGAGGGTAGAAAAGACCCAAAGGGTCTCACCGCTTAGCGGCTGAGGGTGGATATCGGGTTAGATCTAACCTTTTTCAAAGAAAATATATTTCTGCAGTTCATCCGCTACTTCATTACCTAATTAATTACAGACATAAAATATATTTAGTTCATTCGGTACCATGCAAATACAGTCACAAATGGTGGCATGTAATCTTTACCCAAGCCTGTTGGATTTGTTGTGAAAGTATGGACATGATTTCCTCCTGGTTCAGTTTGTCGAAAAGTCTTTTTTGTTGAATCGTTATAAGCTGGAGATAAAACATCATAACCAGCTTCATAGTCTGAGTTGTATAATGGGTGGTCTCTTAATGAGTGTCTATGGTCGCCAGAAAAGTTTGTAGTTCCTGTATGAGTGTGCGGTGGAAGGTTTGCTTCTTTAATTTTCTTTGAACCACCGGCTTGTTTTGAATTATTAGTACAATATAAGAATTTGTCTACAATCTGCTTCCATGTACCAAAACCTAAAACACTTGCTGGATTTGTTGAGTTCATTGATGTATAAATAGAGCCTATAGGATATAATGTTTGAAGTATTTCATTTTTCATGCTTGTAATCACATCATTTACTTCCGACTTCTTTGCATAATTTTCATCTACATAAGTTTTATCTGCTTTAAGGTCTAAACATCCTGAAACCCATCCTGTATCAGCTTTAACTTTAAAAGTCTCCGATGTCCATTCATGATACCATTCAACCTTTTCTTTAATTTCATTATCTTTTTCATCTACATAAGTTTTATCTGCTTTAAGGTCTAAACATCCTGAAACCCATCCTGTATCAGCTTTAACTTTAAAAGTCTCCGATGTCCATTCATGATACCATTCAACCTTTTCTTTAATTTCATTATCTTTTTCATCTACATAAACCAAATTTGCCTTCTTCATTAACTCACTATCCACGTATTCCTTATCTACCTTCTTCATTATGTCATTTAGGAAACCTTCTATGAATTCCTCATTTAAATTAAATCTTCCAATCTTCAAAACTTTAGGAAATGCATTTAATGCGTAATATCTCTGTTCTTCTGGTGGAATTGATGTTATATCATCCGTTATTCCTTTAATTTTTGAATTCATAAATAAAATTTCTTTTATATTTGATATCACTGCACCACCTTTGCAAACGAATTCGAAACGGTCATTTTTCAACCTATCTCCATATCTCCATATTTCAACCTTTGCGTTTGTTCTGCCGTCTTTGAATTATATGCATATATGGCGTATGTAATGGTCTGAAGGACCTGGGTGCTTTGCGCCTTAAGTTGCTGTTGTTTAATCATTTATTACGATTTAAAAATAAATATTTAATCCGTTATCTCATCAGCTATTTTCTCTATTTGAAATTGCCATAATATTTCATTCATAAATTCTAAATCACAATCAAATAGGTCAGTTATTCTAAATTTAATATAGAGTGTCCAAAGGTGCGTTTAGCACAGCGCTCTATATGAGACTATTAAAGGAGATATATGCTGATTATAAATATATAATAAAAAATATGAATATATGTATATGATGAGTATGTTGTATTTTGGCGCCATGCCGGGATATAAAATGAATTTTGAGACAAGAGGCGGTTTCGCGGGAAATTTTGGCGGGATTTTTTTTTCATTTTTTTAATGAATCATAAAGAAAACATCCTCGCTCTTGCAAAAAAATGCAAAGACTGTAAAAAAATCTACGAGACATTGGTAAAATGCTTCGGTATGGATGCTCCTAGCTATTCCACTGTAACATATCATGTTAGGATGTATCACTTCATGAACAAAAAGGCGCCCATCATAAAAATTGACAAAAAATCGCCGGATCAAAGAAAAATCAAAGCAATTCTTCAAGCGCTAGATGAAGACCCAAGAGCATCACTCAGAAGGATAGAGGAGATGACAAAGATACCACGTACAACAGTCAGTTATTATCTGCACAATTATTTGAACTACAAACTAGCGTATACACGTTGGGTTCCGCACAACCTTAATTCAGTTCAAAAAAATCTAGAGTCCAATCTTCGAAAGAGCTCCTCTCTATATTGGGTGCGTATCAATCCAAGAAGTTTCGCTTTTTAGTAACAGGGGACGAGTCTTGGTTTCAATATGCAACAGAAGCCAAAATCATGTGGATCCCGAAGGATGAAAATCCGCAAACATTCCCGAAGAAAAAAATTGACACATCAATGATGATGTTGTCGGTTTTTTGGGGCGTGAATGGCATCATCGCAATTGATATTCTTCAAAAACCTAATACGATGAATGCTCAGTATCTAATTGACAATGTTCTTACTCAAATTATCAATTCTGATGAGTTTGAGAAATCCAAACAACAAAAACAAAAGTTTGCAATTCATTTTGATAATTCAAGAGTTCACAAAAGTCATAAGGTAATGAATTACTTGGTGGAAAACAATGTCAAAGTTGTTCCAAACCCAATTTATTCACCTGATATTGCACCCTCTGACTTTTATTTATTCGGCACGCTAAAAAAGAGAGCTGAAGGACGCGAATTCGCGAGTCCAGATGATCTTGAAAATTTTGTAAGAGAGCAATTTGAGCAATTTTCTCATGATGATTTAAAGCGTGTCTTTCAAGCCTGGATCGATCGCTGCGAACGCGTGATTGAATCCAATGGTGATTATATTTAAAGAAACTTTATATATATGTAACTTGTTTATTTCTA